TAATTACTCAGGGTACAGGAAATTTACAAACTGAAGTATTGGAGCCTGACAAGGAGCAAATTCAGGCTGAGTTGGTGAAGGTAAGGGCTACCAACAAAGAATTGAAAAGGGAGAATGCAAGGCTCAACTTTGGGCTAACTGCTCTTGCTCAGAATATGGGCATACTAAAAGAAATGATAAGGTTCTAAGAGATTTCTAAATAATTGTACTTATAGAAAACAAGCCGATTCTTCAAAATGATATGGACCAATTGTGATGCACCACTTTTGATTGTTGATCTCTCATTTTCCATTACTAATTCTTTTCCTTATTTTTGTTTCAGATTGATAACAAAATTCATTCAGCATGTTGCAATGAAGAACTTGCAACAAACAAGCATGTTACTGCAGGTATAGAACTTCCCAAACTGGAATTTCATATGATAATGATGGCATGGAAAATTAATGTATTGAAGAACTTGATGCCAATAACTCGTTTTTCCAGACAATAGCTAAACCTGTTTTTTCCTCATCACTTGCAGGCAAGGGTACCACTGAGGGAGCCTTAAAGTTGAATGGTAAGGGGGAAGACAAGCCAAAAGAGGTACTGAAGGGAAGGCTTGCAATGGCAGTTGATGACACATCCACATGTCCCCCAACAGGCAGCACTTTATCTAGCAGCTTCATGTCCAATACTTGCCAGTCAATCCGCCAATTTGCCACTGCACTAGTCACTCAGAATCATCTGCTTTCCAAGCAAGCCTCTACGTCAGCTTCGTGTATAAAGGGTACAACTGATGTTCTGAAGCTTGAGAAGGTTAATCTGCGGAATTAATTCTCTCTCTTTCATTCCCACTGCTTTTTCCTTATTTTCTTCCTCAAATCTTTGAGTAGCAACTCTTTTCCTCTGACTTTACCAGAATATGGAGGCTTGTGTTTCCCTTGCCATCCAGTTTGCTTGGGAGATAGCCAGCGCACAAAGAGAGTCTAGAGCTGCGAATACTGAAGAGGAGTACAGTGCCAACCACGCAATAGAAACTGCGGACAAGGATAACTAGGGAGTATAGCAAATACAAGGTTGTGGACTTGTGGTCTTGTGGATAGGATTGCGATTTTTATATGATTTCACCTAAAAAATAATTTTTTATTTTCTAAAAAGTAGTTTCTTTGACTCACGTAGCATTGCATGTCATCGCGTCAGGGTCAGGTTGGGCAAGGCATGGTAGGGTAACCGTACACATTAATTTTTCACTAACTGTTTATTTCGGTAATGAAATTTTGTTGTCGATATCATATCAATTGTGGCGTTTTTCTGCAATCGGTGTGGTAGAGGAAAAATTGGTAATTCACATTCCCATCCAAAATTATCGAACCATAAATTTTCATTTTAGTCTTTTAATAATTTCTCAATCTCATTCCATTATCTTTTTGTCTTTCATCATAAAACCAAAACCCACGATGAAAAATGGAAGAATCTTTGCTATTTTAAATGAAATCCGCTCATCAAGAACTCAAAACAATTCAAAAATTTTGAAAAAAAAAAAAAAGTAGTTGTTGAGAGCATCTACACTTGCTGTCGTGCCTTCATTTTCGTTCATCAATCCTTTATTTTTCATTTGTCGACTGGTCTGAGATTTGAGGGGAAAGGGGATCGGAATGAAAACAATTGAAAAGGGAATGTAGAGAGAATATAAACTGAAACTCACTAATTCAGACATCATACTTGTGTTCTGAATCTTTTAATTACGAGGGTAGAAAGAGAAGTTCTGTACCTTATATTTTGACTTTGAGTGGGTAATGGATCTCAATTTGAGGTGAGATTGTAAAGAAAAAATTTTACACTGTTTGGATCAAAGGTGATATGAGGGAAAGGAGAGGAGGGTGATCGAGAGGGGTTAAAATTAACTTTTAACTTTTAACTTTATAAAATTGATAGGTTTTAATTCATAACCTTATAATATGATATTTTTAACCATTTACCTTACATGATAGGTTTTAACTTATTACCTTACAAATTTGATATATTTTAACTCTTTATCTTATATTTTGACACTTTTAGCTCCTTATCTATATGAATTGAAGAAAATAACCTTTATTTAACATCAGATTATAATGTTCTATTAGTTCTGTTAGCTGATCGTCAATTTTGTTAGTTGACTGTTAGCATCCGTTAACATCCGTTAGCATTTCGTTAATGGAACTAACAAATAAAATTGAATTTAAATTTCGTGTTTTTTATAACGGAATGTTAACGGATGTTAACAGTTAACTAATAAAATGTTATAACCTGATGTTAGGTGAGGGTTATTTTCTTTAATTCGTATTGATGAGGGGCTAAAAATATCATAATATAAGTTAAAGGGTTACAAATTACCAATTTTGTAAGGTGAGGGGCTAGATTTATCAACTTTGTAAGATAAAAAACTAAAACTGTCATATTATAAGATGAGGGGTTAAGGCCCTGTTTGATATAGCGGTTTTGGGGTAGCAGTTAGCGGTTTTACTTAAACCGTTAAATATAGGTGTTTGGTACATTTATATATTTCGAAACCACTACAACTAAAGTGTTTGGTAAAATTTTTATTTAGCGGTTTGAGACTAGCAGATAGCGGTTAGGATCCAAATAGCTAGCGGATTGAAAAAACTAGTTTATGTAACTTTTTGTACTAAACCGTTAGCGGATTAGAATTTTTTAATTTTATTAATAAATTTATTCATTTTAATTTTTTAATTTGTGGTTACATTTTTTAATTAATAATTATCTAATAAATTTCAGTTTTTTTACCTTTAATAACATTAAGTGATTATAATATTTTCTTGTATATTAATTTATAATTAAAAAATATATTATCTTAAAAAACAAATTTTGTTAATTAGACAAAATGATTAGATTTTATTTAAAAATAACATAATTTTTTCTTTTTTAAAAAT